TTATTAATTTTTCTTTCCTCATGTTGTTTGTCTATCTCTTGATGTTTTCCACTTGTGCCATTGTCTACCACTTGCTCTTTAGCTTTTTCCTCCAGTATTGTTTTTTAGAGAAGTGTTATGTAAGAAAGTTAACAGGAAACTGTAACTGTGTGCTTCAGAATTGGTTAGATTTTGATGAAAGAAATGAAAAATATCTTAAACTTTATCTTTTTCTTTGTGTTGGCCTGTTTGTCCATTTGGACTTTGGCCTTGTACAAGGACCTGAGTTTTGCGTGTACATTCATTTTACTACTTATTTGTGTGCTGTCCTTGTTCCATGCCCCTTGGGCAGATGTACTCCGAATTCGAGGGATAAAAATTAATCAGATTTTATTATTATTATTTAAAAGACTATTTTTGCATCTAGTTAGTTTTGCAGTAAGGGAAACATAACTTAGTGTTAAACCACACTTTTATATTTCAATATTTGTTCTAGTAGCTAAAGTTGATTAGAAAACTAATTCAGCTTGACTTTACAGGAAATTTTAAAAATCAAATCACTCTAAAAAAAAAAAAAAACTGACGTAGAGATTGTGAGGTACATGAATGATAAGTTATGACTATCTTTAGGAATTGTTTTATTCTCCTAAATCCAATAAATTATAATTTTTATTTGGAGAGGGGCAGGTGTGAAAAATTACATGAAAGTGCCAAGCTCGGTTTAAAGTTTAAAAAAAAAAAGTTGTGAATTACTACTACTACTGCCACCATAACTACTACTACTGCCACCATAACTACTACTACTACCACCACTGCTACTACTACCACCTCCACTACTACTACTACCACCACCACTACTACTACAAACTACTCCTATATTACTACTATAGTTATAGTATTAATACGTTAGTTTTTACCAAGTTTAGTATTTACATATTATTATTATTACTAGCTTCAACAAACCTCTTCGTGAATGGCATGGAAGAAAATCATAACTGCTTAAAAAATTACCACCAAAAAATTGTAACTAATTAACAGTAAACCAAGAAGATTCATTCGATCAAACCAACCGCGGCCGGTTCCAGATTTTCAAGGAGGTCTTGGATAAAGCCAAAAGATTAAAAGTGCTTAACTTTATATGTTATAAACAAATAGTTTAAATAGACAACGGGTTATCCTCCGAATAAAGGTCCCAAATTATCGAGACCGAAAATATACCCTAACAGGGCCTTAGTCACATGTCAATTGCGGACTTCCGGCGACTACCGCCGAGAGTATCTCCCACGCTGCTACTCGCGGCGTGGAGCTAAACTAGATGGCTAGGACTCATGAGCAGCAGCTATCGCATCTCCTGCAGCTTCCATCATTTTATTTGCTCGTCAGTCCCAGCCATCTAGTTTAGCTCTGCTCCCTGGCGAGCGGGAAAAACTCTCAGAAGTGGCGGTAGTCGCCGGAAGTCTGCAATTAACATGTGACTGAGGCCCTGTTAGGGTATATTTTAAGCATGTATAATTTGAGACCGTTATTCTGAGGCTAGCCAGACAATGTATTGATGATTTGATTGGCACTCATTAAAAAAAAGATATGAATATATCTTTGTACTATCCTCCGAATAACGGCCACACAGTATGGCGGCCCAAAAACACACCCTGACAGGGCCTCAGGGACCCGTTAAATGCAGACTTCAAGCAACTTCAATTTGCAGATCAGCGACTAAACCGCCAACACTAGGAGTATCTTCAGCGCCGCTACGCGTGGCGCAGAGAAGGGCTAAACTAAATGCCTGGGACTCACGAGCAGCAGCTTCCGCATCTCCTGAAGCTTTGCTCATGAGTCCCAGCAATCTAGTTTAGCCCCGCGCGTAGCGGGACGGGAGATACTCTCGGCAGTGGCGGTGTAGTCGCCGAAAGTCCGCAATTTACATGTGACTGGGGCCCTGTTTTTGGCCGCCATAATATGTGGACTTATTTCGGAGGATAGCCTATATTTGTTTTTATTAACTTTACCATAAAAAGTTGAAATTTGGCTATCTTCCGAATAACAGTTCCAAATTATCAAGGCCAAAAATATACCCTAAGAGGGCCTCAGTCACATGTCAAATGCGGACTTCCTGGGAATATACCGCCACAAGTATCTCCCACACCGCTACACACAGCGTGGATTGGGGCTAAACTAGATGGCTAGGACTCAGAGCAGCAGCTTTCGCATCTCCTGCAGCTTTGCTCGTGAGTCCTAGCCACCTGGTTAAGCCCCAATCCACGCCGCGTGAGCGGCTTGGGGCACACAAGGCGGTGGCAATAGTCGCCCTAAAACCGCAAATTGAGTCACGTGACTGCGGCTCGAACGGATATCTTGCGGCCGCCATCTTTCCTGCCCGTTATTCAGAGGATAGCCGGTACAGTTCATAAAAACAACAGTAGAATTAATATTAAATAATCCTATCTCAAAGGAAATAGAAAAAGAATCTAGAGAGAAGACGGAACTAACCTGTGTTGTAGCATTGACAGCAGATGATCAGCAAAGATAAACAAAATTGTGGATGGGCGCTGACATGTTGCAGTCCCGCACAGAATTTACTGTGTCAGATAATTGGTCAAATTGACACACAGCAGAAATCGCCTAAATCTCGCCTAGAAATATAGAAAACAATTCCTAGGTATTGGTTGATACTGCTAGAAGTGTAGGAGAAAAGATGAGATGAAATGGCACACACCATATATAACACAGACAGTTCAAGTGAGTAAACCGGTAAAGGGAACTGCTGCCTTCATAGTGCCTGTCAGGGGAAACAAGCATGCAGGCTTGACTTGCTGTCTGTGAAGGAGAGGGCTTTGACAGTTGACCTCGCGTGCTAAGAGGCAGGAGGGGGGGGGGGGGTGTCTGCAACGAAGACTATTATACCCATTGTGGCGAGAACCTGCACCTTTTATAGACACTTTATAGTGAGTGAAGTATAGACACTTTATGGTGAGTAAAATATAGGTTCTCAATGGTGAGTAAAGTAAAAAGTATAATCACTTTATGAAGGGTGAAGTATAGACACTTTATGGTGAGTTTAAGTATAAACACTTTATGGTGAATAAAGCATCGACACTTTATGGTGAGTAAAGTTAGGTAAAGCATTCTCTTCACTGTCTTCAGGCATATAGGGCTAAACCTATATTTTATAGATCAACCGGCACTTGGTGGATGATATCGTCAACATCAAGCTGCCGCCTTTACCTGCTACCCGGCTGGGTTGACCAGGGAGCCAAGGTAATTTTTTTTGAAGAAAATAAAAGTTCGACTTCGTCAGGAACTGAACCCACGACCTTTTGATCAGCAGGCGAGCGTCTAGCTACTACACCACAGTGGCTCCACTTTATCCTGAGTGCTGGCATCTATTTTGCTGTTGGGGGGGGGGGGGGCTGCTCCTAATTTTGAATGGATGTTCTCTTTTTAAATATTTGTTTGTACATTTCGTATTGAATAAAATATATTATTATTATATTTTGTGGCGTTCAGCACACTTAAATAAAATTAAGCCACTCGAGGCTCCCAAATATTTTTTCAAGGCGCGGAGGAATGTGTTTTTCACGTTGTGCAATGCTAATAATAAGCTTTATTATTATTATTTATTATTGGTGTATCATTATTATGATATACTGTGCAATTACAGAACGTTAGCCCTTTAACTTCTTCTTCTTCTTTACTTCCTCTTTTACCGCTGTGGGTGTCGAGGGAGATATAAGGTTCTGTTTCTAGATCTTCTGGCTGCCTCGACCATAGGCACATCGTGCTGTTGTAGAGTTTCTCTGATGTTATCCTTCCATCTTGTTCTTGGTCTACCCTGTGCTCTACGTCCTTCTTCTCTTTCTATGTATGCTTTGTATGGTATGGTGTCACAAGGCATTCTCTCTAAGTGGGCAAACCATTTCACTTGCTGTCTTTGTATGTAATCCAGAATTGGTTCTGTGCCGACTTGTTCTCTTATGATCTCATTCCTGATCTTATCTCTCATGGTCACTCCTACAGCCCTTCTCAGACATCTCATTTCCGTGGTTACTAATTTTCTTTTATGGTTTGTTGTGAGTGACCATGTCTGGCACTGGTAGCACAGAGTTGGAATAAATATGCTTTGAATAAGATGTCTCTTTGTGCTGATTGGGATTGTCTTATGCTGTAAGAGGGGGGCTAGCTGTCCCAATACTTGGTTTGCTTTACTCCTAGTAAATTATTTGAAGGGGGTATGAACCTACCTAACGACAATGTTTTGTGTTTTTTTTTAATATGTTGTGGGTCGCCTGTCTTAATTCGTTGCCTTCTGCTATCTCTATTCATAAATCTACCAGTACATATATGTTATGTTAAGTTACCACATTCGACGTCTTTTTGTACATTAGGCATCTCCATGCGTGCTCAGCCCTCCGATGCATTAGCCATTCCAAGGTATGTCTACTGATTGTTCACATGAGGAGCTGGTTATAAAATCTCATGTGGCCCCATTTCATCCTGAGTGCTGGCATCTATTTAGCTGGGGGGGGGGGGGGGGGCTGCTCATATACCCGCCATCGACGTCTTTGCACAGTAGGTATCCCCATGCGTGCTCAGCCCTCCGATGCAGCAGCACCTCCAAGGTACGTCTACTGATTGTTTACATGAGGAGCTAGTTATAAATCTCTTGTCTTTACAGCGAAGTCGACATTGACGTGCTTCACCAAGCTTAACTCCTCTATCAGGTAGTCGTGATAGCGCAGTGTGTGTTGCAGTTATATCTAGATTCATTTGTTTGTGTCTACTTAAATGCTGATGAAGATCTTTTAACCACAACATTCATTGTTTATGTAATGTTTCCTTTTTACAAAATCATCGTCGGTGTACTAAAATAGGACATACTCAACATCTTTATTACCTACATTCATGGTATCGATACAGAATAAAACATTGTGATTTATGTGAACCACCAGTCACCCAACTAACGTTTCCGGTAGTCGATACTGCCCAACCTGCATGTCTGCCGGACTGACGGAAGCCGACCATCCATGGCTACCGCCAGCGCTGTAGACACAGACCTTGTCCAACAGTTTATCACCGTTACAGGTTGGTTTTTATTCTTCTTGGACAGATCTGAGGCTGAATATCGTATCAGTCCTCTATTCATATCAGGTTTATGTTTTTAGCTTTTCATTTAGTTACAGACATACGTTTAAGAGTATCTATTAAATCTTACCTGTTTTTCTGTTCATTCGTCGAATGATTCGACACTCGATTCGAAAAACAGACCCTAGAAGAAAGTTAAATTGACAACGTTGTTGTCATCACACTTTTGATTAGATATCTTCATTTTGTGCCAGATTGAAATTATAAAGAAAAGATGAATGTTATTATGGAATCCAAATTTTAGATTCAGATGATGCTGAGAATTTCAGAATTATTTTTTTTTATTATATACTAATTTAATTTTTAAGGCTATTCTCCGAATAACAGCCGGTAAAGATGGCGGCCGCAAAATATCCTGGCGAGCCTCAGTTGCGCACTAGCGGTCACGAGCACATCGCGAGAAAACTAAGATTAGTGACTGTTGACAATTTCGAGAAAAGGAACAAACCGCCAAGTTGAGCTCGCAGCCAAGAGTTAGTTAATTATAATGTCAAGCCAGTAATGACCGTTGTATGAACAACATTTTGGCCCCAGCCAGGAAGTATGATACGTGTTGTGCCTGTTTAACTGTACCTTAGCACAATTTTGTTTCAACAACACATGAACTCGATTTTCGGCGCTTCTTTGATTTATTCCCCAAAATGGCGACATGCCACATTCTGGCTATAAAATATCCAAAAATATCCGAACGACGGTGTTCGCGTTTATCTAAAATACGGACTTTCTGCCAACGAACAAATCGCGGCAAAATTAGGATTACTTGACAACCAATATCAACATTTGCACACGGTACTAGTAGCAGACGATAAATACCGACCGTTGACAAAAATTTCGAGCGTTTCTGCAGACGACGATACTAGCAGACGATATTAGCGACCGTTGAGCAATTTCGAGATATTACAGACGATGAAAGCCGATTAGCAATACTGTGTTCTTCCGATTGGAGGATTTAACAGCGGCAGATGTCAGACTTGTCGGCATGCGCCAAACGCGATTTAACTCATCGCCGAGCGTATCTAGGTGCCTGGGACTCACGAGTACAGTAATTGGAGGAAGTTGCAGGAGATGCGGTAGCTGCCACTCGTGAGTCCCAGCCATCTAGTTTAGCCCCTATCCGCGCCGCACGTAGCGGCGCGGGGGATACGCTCGGCGGTGAGGCACACTCGCAGAAGCAGGTCGGCAAGCAACGTATCGCCTAGACCCTGTCAGAGCTTTTGTTTCGTTATTCGGAGCAGGCACATATATTTTTAATAGAACTGACCCCGCATTCGGATATTTTTGGATATTTTATGGCCAGAAATTTGCCAATTTAGCTCCTTTTTGAACGCCATCATATTACAGCCGCCATTTTGGGGAACGATTCAAAGAAGCGCCCGATTTTCAGCTCCTTGGAATTCTTGTCAACGAGGTTCTTTTTACTTTACATGTTACAAATATCTCAAGGAAAGAAAGTTCAGTATCATTTGTAATTTCTGTTGACCTCCACAAATCATTACTGCAGAGTGTCTGTTGAGTTATTTGCTTGTGGGGACACTCATTGGGCGTGCCTTGAATCAGAGAAGACCCATCAACATCACATCTGTTGGTGTCACTTGTTGGTTGATAATGTTGTGATCTGACATTTTAGGTGCGGACCAAGATGTTGCTGTTCGGCTACTGGAAGTTTGTGCTGGCAATTTGGACCTGGCCGTTGACATGCATATGGATAACATTGGGGATCAGGATGTATCGAACAGTGCTCGAGGGGAGGCCTCTTCTTCATTAAACTTCGACTGGTAAGTAGGAAATCAGTCAGATGGCATGCACCATAGAGGAACTAGATACCCAGTGTTTGTTTGTTGATGGTCGCGGCCATGCTGTGAAACACATCACCTGGTTGCCCCTGGAACACACACAAAAGGGGAGCACAAATCCGTGAGGATTCATGTTTTTAAAAAAAAACACATTTCACACAGGTCACTAATAGATTTATAAAAACCATTTTGGTTTACAACCCCCCCCCCACCCCCCTTTTCCACTCCCTTTTTTTAAATTCCATGCTAATTTTAAAAGTATATGTATATCTAAAGAAAAGAAAAACCAGCATTCAAAGACTGGTTAAGCACCAGCAAGGAAACCAACATTAAAATTATGAGAGCTGTAGCAACATACGGATGTGAGTTGTGGACTATCTTACCTGTAGCAACATACGGATGTGAGTCAAGGACTATCTTCCAGTCATTAAGAAAGAAAATAGGTGCCTTTGAGGTGAAATGCTATAGAAAGATTCTTAGAATACTGGGGACAAAGAAGGGGAAATACTGACATTTTAAAGGATGTGAACTTCAAAAAGATTGACTAATAAACAGCATCTTGTCTGAGAAACTGAAATATTTGGTCATATCCTTGCCATGCCGCATTGGAAAAAATAATAACAGAAGGCATGGTCCAGTAAGGATGGGCAGGTGCCGCCCAACATGCAGATAGGCACGGGAGAGCTGGTGAGACTGAGTTTCTTTCAGACAGTTATGAGAGCGATGTTCTGCAAAAAACCTGCACCATGATGATGAATATCTTTACTCCTTAAACTCTGCATAGGCATAAACAGAGCGAGTAGTGTTAACTATGCATCTCATAAACACATCATAGAAACAGGTCGGTAAATTGGTTTTTAAGGGGGGTTGGACCAGGTCGGAAGTGTTGGTTTGTCAGTTGCTTGGGGCGACATGGCTAATCTAAACGGAGTTGGAGCAGGCCGCAAGTGTTGGTTTGTCAGTTGCTTGGGGCGACATGGCTAATCTAAGGGGAGTTGGACCAGGCCGGAAGTGTTGGTTTGTCAGTTGCTTGGGGTGACAGGGCTAATCTAAACGGAGTTGGACCAGGCCGGAAGTGTTGGTTTGTCAGTTGCTTTGGGCGACATGGCTAATCTAAGGGGAGTTGGACCAGGCCGTAAGTGTTGGTTTGTCAGTTGCTTGGGGCGACAGGGCTAATCTAAAGCTGGGTACAGAAATGTTAGAAAAAAAAACAGGTAGCTGTTTTATGTTGAAGTTTTTTGGCACTAGTATCAGGCATTTATGATTTTATGAGCAGAGATGGCACAGAACTAATGCTGAACTTTATAAGTGGACAGCAAATCAAATGGTTTGGCCGTGCAACAAGACTGGCATCAGACACGGCACGACAAAGCAGTGTTATACAGATGCAGCGGTAACAGAGTCAGAGGTTGAGCATGTAGAAGATGGACCGTAGAGACTCTGAAAAGTACTTTATTTGAATCGAACAGAAGGGCCCATTCCAGAGATCTCTTCCTGCCTTGACACCGCAAGGCATTCCAGGAGTAGATCAAAGAAAAAGGCCAGCCATCAGTTGCCTATTTGATGTACATAAACAGCTGCTCTTTTTTTTAAATGTCTTTACGTTCATGGTGTGATAGATTTGTGTCTATTTTATTTATGTGAATTATTGAGTGATGTTCATTCTTGTACAGCGATGATAATGTGCGGGCTCCGATCCCCCAAAGAACAGAGGTGCTTGTCGAAGATGGCCCTATGGGTGCTGCTGGTAAGTTTTTGTATTTGAATGTCTCTAGTTTGAGCTTGTAGCAATTAAGACTAGTTTAGCTTCAGAAACAGTTTTATTGCTTGTTTCTTCAGTATCGGCTTTGTGAATGATTTGTTAATCTCCTTGTGATTATTGTCTGTGGTGATTATACCCTTGGGTGAGTTCTTGCATTGACCTAGATTGTTTTTTTTTTTTCTGTGGTTTAGCACAGCTGGGAGTTTATTGTTGATTCAGTGGAGCAGTATATCTTTTGGAGGGAAAACAAGAACATACCCACTGCCTCCCCAACAAGCATGACGTAGGAGTCAACTTCAAAGTCAGAATCTGCCTGAGCAGAAAGGAACAATCAACCGCATACAAATAAACCAGTAAAACTGATGTATAGGCAAAACTCAGGCCCTAGCATAAAGCCACAGTCCAGTTAGACAAACAACCAAGACTTTCCACTAGTCGGTGAACAAAGAAGAATTTATTTGAGATTGTCTATCTCCTGTTATTTAGAATTGTAAATCATGGGTTATTCGAGTGTTTTTTAATGATTGTTTGGGATTGTGTGATTTAGACAGAAAGTTTAGATGTATGTCATTGTTTGAACTGATAAACTAATTGTAAGGAAATTTATTTATATTGACACAGCATCATATCGTTTGAGACGTCAACGCCAGAAGAGATCTGTCTTTGATGGATTCCGGAATTTTGTGGCAGAATGTAAGATTGTTTCAGACATGTTGTTTTATAGAAGTTTACACTTTAAGTATGAGCTGTCGCTGGTTGGTTTTTGAGTGTTTTGTTGAAAGATGATTGAATGATGTGTTTATTGCTGATTGGTTGTTGGAGGATGTTCTTTTATTTGATTGGTTACTGAAGTGATTTCTGTATCTGGATGATTGAATATTGAGTAGTTGGTAGGCATTAAATATTCTGAGAACCATATTTCTGATAACCAGTTAAAGGACAAGGGACAATATGATCAGTGTTGCGCAAGTTTTCTTTAAGTTACCAGGAAATCTGTGTGGCTTGGTCATAGACCCAACCTGGTCACCACCATGTAAACATGCCCCTGCTGGGTTTGAAACTGTATCTTTGGATTCTTAAGTGAGTGCACTGACCATTTTACCAACATGGGTGTACGCAGATGTCACCTATTTAAGATGTGCTTTTGTCTAATGTTATGTGATATCATAGTTTCATTTGGGTCATCCCATACATGATCCATTCACCCCATACATGCTCCATTCCTGAACCAGTTAAAATCAAAGGAAACGTTCATCACTGTACCATTTGAAAAACTGGTGAACAAACAATTAGTCACAGCCATAAAAACCATAAACTTCTGCCCATGTGTGGAAACTGCATTAGCAAAATGCTGTCAGAAGCAAAAATAGTTACTTCAAAGCTAAACATTCTGCCATGCCTATCCTCTATATTGGCCCAAAAGTCTGTGTCGTGTTATGTGATGCTACAATACCATCTGTCTTCAGAAAACATGCCTTGATTCTTCATCTGTTAGATATTGATTCTTATATTTTGTTCTCTTGTCTAGATCACAGCGATGAGTCAGCGAATGGACAGAGGACCTCCAAAAAGAGAAGTTTAGAAGACCTCTTTCGACCTCCAGTGGACATCACATTCAAGGGAACATTCCAGAACGTGTGTTTTCTAAGCATCCTGTTCCTACACCTTTTTGTCACTGAGTTTTCTTCTTCTTGTTTGTTGTTGTTATCCTTCATTTGTAATCTTATGTTAGTAGAGAATGTCAAGTTAGGCCTTGCTGTGGAGCAAGGCGGCCCGCAGAGGCCTGGCAACTGGCCTGTTGATCACTGCCAGGTGTACTATATTAATGATCGTTCTATGCTGCGGCAGAGACCTCTGGTCCATGACGATCCTAATTTTCACATTTTTTGCCCCTGAGTAGATGTAATCAAATAGCTTTGTTGTAAAATGGCTGCAGGTATGGAGTTATGATTATTTCAGGAAATCGTATGTAAAAGAAATGATTATTTAAGAGAATCTCCCTTATATGTAAAAGTAATGATTATTTAAGAGAATCTGATCGCCCTTATTTGTAAAAGTTATGATTATTCCACAAAATCTGATTACCCTTATATGTAAAAGTAATGATTATTTCAGAGATAATCATTTTCAGATGGCATTGATTTGAGCCAACTGTATAGTTTCGCTATAGCATCACTTTAGAGGTCCCGGGTAGTTGGCATCATTTGGATATCCTCTCCAAGTATGCCAGTGTTTTGGCAAATGAGCAGGCAGATAGATTAGGTGGTTTTGCACCACTTGGTGGTGAACTGATGTATGACAAGTCAGATGTTGTGAGGGCTGTCTTCAAGTGAGTAAACAGTGCGAAAGCCCAGAAAGATCATTGCGGTCTGAGGAGAATGGCGCTGTGATGTGATCTGACCGAAGCTCAAGGGAAAGGCGAGACAGATTTACAATCAGACAGTTACTGGTGCCATCGGAATCAGTACTCTTTATTTTGCTGCTGAAGATGGGGACGGAGCGCTTATGGAGGTGTCCCGACTGCTATGATGTCAATTCTTAATTCAGCATTCTATAGTTTCAAATTTGTAGAGTCCCCATGTGGGGCCACATTTTGCGGGAGAGAGAAGAATTGACCCATTTCCTTGCTAACAAGCATGTCATACAATGTGACTAATCAGGAGATTCCATCAGAGTCAGAGTGCATCTGCCTGAGAGGTGAGGAACCAGCAGTCTGGATTCAAATAAGCCCGATCTGTAAAATGGACATGCACGCAAAACTCGAGTTCTGGAACAAGACCAGAGTCCAGAAACGGATGAACGACCAGAACTTTCTGCTTGAGTTTACAGCCAGTGATTGCTAAGAAAATAAGAAAAGTTTTAATACGTTAAAAAAATGCAGAAGGATATGCCAGTTAAATAAAGAATAAGGTATGAAACCAAAACAGTGCTAAAGCAGTCTTTCAAGCGGGAGTGGAGAAGGCAGAAGGGATATTACAGACCAGAGAGGGACAGCATAAACAAACTGGAAAGAACAAACATCAATTTTTAGACTTCAGACAGGACACTGGTCTTTGAGCACACCTGCACAGGATAGGCATAAAAGAATCTGCTGCCTGTAATTGTGGAGCAGAAAGACAGGCCTCTGAGCACATACTGCAGTACTGCCCTAACTTCTTCCAGCAAAGACTGTGTATCTGGCCCAAGGGAGCTACATTGCAAGAGAAGCTGTCGGGGACCGGTGGCGACCTTAAATGCACAATCCTATTTGTGACCCAGACGGGACTCAATGTTTAGCATGACTGATGTCAAACGCAGAAAAAGAAGGAGGAGGAATATGGTAGGTCCTGTAAAGATTTCATTTAATGCAGTGGAGCATATCACATGCTACATTAGTCAGTGGGATGGTTTATGATCGAGTGGAATGATTAATGGATGCTTGTCCAATCCTTACTCAGTTAAACCAGGCGTGAATCCTGCAAGAACTTATATTACAGGCCATTCCCATAGGTGCTCCATCCCTATCTTCAGCAGCTAGCACAGAGTTGCATTACTAATGGTGCCAGTAGCAGCTTCAGTACTTGCCTTTCCTGTGAGCATTGAGTATCAGACCGATCTTCTTCTTCCGTTGGCTTGAAATAGCTTATCTATCTTTGCAATGTTGTCTCCAGTATGAACTTCACTGTCTTTTGTAATTCACTCAGCGACCCGTAAAGTTTGACTGGCAACGATGTTTCTCTTGGCCAAAAATTTTGCCTTGATATGTTTGTTGTATTTGGGACAGTTTTGGAGGACATGATTTGTTGTCTCAGGTCCCAATCCACATGTGAACATGGCTGATTTGCCGATTTTAATTTTGTACATTGTGGCTGCGAAGTCGATTGTGTCCTGTTCTAAAGAGTAGAATAATAACTTGCTCTGGGCTCTCCATAAAATGGCAATCGTCTTGGGCCGGTTTTTGTGGCTTTCTCATAGATTTGATTATTCTCTTCTTTTGTTGATACGTCAGGTTATTCTTCATTTGCACCTTCCTTAGCTAGTTTATCAGCTCTTTCATTTCCAGGAACTCCACAGTGGGGTATTTTTTCCATTGCATAGTTACTTACACCGCTGCCTAGTTTAGAGAGTAGTGTTCGAATACCATGTAGTTTTCTAGATTGGAGTGACTGAAGCACCGCTCTTGCATCTGTCAAGCATACCACAGGTTGTGAAATATGATGTATATTTAACAGTTTCTCCGCTGGGTGTATATCAGCCAGATCCCCTTGTCATTCCTGGCTGCATCACTCTCACCAGATTGATCATCCACTTGCTCACATAAGGCTGTAGCCACATCTATCTCATGTGTCAGTATTCCACCAAGTTGTGCAGAGCCAGCCAGTCTGTTGGCCTGTTCATTTCTCAACACACGAGCATGCATGGAGAAGATATCTGGATAATGAATCCAGCTTTGGAGTTTTATATTTCTTGGATAATGGATCAACTCCCAAGCCTTCTCAGATAAGAGTGAAATGCAACCTGTGGGTACATCGCACATGGTTGTACTTGGAACATAAACAACAGTAGGCCCAATGGACCTGTGAACTGGCAGAGTGTAAAATGATTGTAAGCCAACTTACAGAAGATGTGAAGATTTGTGGCAGATGCTGGTCTTGTTTACGATTGCTAGGATCTTTGCCAGGGCTTTAGAATGTGTACAATTGTGACAACTGTGTGATTTGTGGAATGCCGCAGGGGACAGTGGGGAGTGTTTATTGTGGAATAGGATTGGGGTTGATGTGGAGTGAAAATGAGTCTTCACAAACCAGTAGTTCATGCAGTTATTTTTATTAGACATTAATCAACTCATGTTAGCAGAAGTTCCATCCAATCATGTTCAGGAGAAGTTCATCTAGTCGTGTTAGTGGAAGTGCATCCAATCAGGTTGAGTAGAAGTTCATCCAGTTATGTTCATTAGAAAATCATCCAATCATGTTAGTATAATTTCATCCAGTTAGGTTCAAAAGCAGTTCATCCAATCATTTTAAAAGAAGTACATCCAGTCATTTTAGCAGAAATTCATACAACAGTTTTAGCAGAAGTTCAACCAGTCAGTCATGTTAGCAGAAATTTAAACATGCTTTAGAGAAAGTCAGAAACAAACATGTTTTACAGAAAGTCAGAAACAAACATGTTTTACAGAAAGTCAGAAACAAACACATTTTCGAGAAAGTCAGAAACAAATATTTGACGTGGCAGGTTCACTTTACATGTAATGCTGCAGACAAGGACTTTGTGTGTTTAACATGATTTTTGTTTGTTTTGAGCAAGAGGGTGGCAGTTCCAATATAATTCCTATTGTGCAGGCACGTGATGCAGGGTCCAGCCAGAACAAATGGCTGCTTGTTAACGTGCAGAATGTGGAAGAGTTCTCATGTCAAATGTTGAATAGGGATGTCTGGAGTCATGCTGACGCACGCAACATCATCAGAGACAGCTTTCTCTTTTGGCAGGTTAGTATCCTGCCACTTGTGTTGGGGGCAGTCTCTGTGTATGTGATTAGTCATTATTAAGTATTATCATCACAGCATTCTGAACAGATCCATAGGTGCTCTAATGTCCTCCTCAAAAGCACAAGTATAAAACGACTGATGATGCCTGTTCTTTGTTGGTTAATGAAACTTCTTGTCTCTTGGTGAAATGTTCACGTCTTGCAGCTTCAGGCTGCACCCACATGTCCATCAGCCTAGACATGGATACCTAGACATGCCCTTTGGCGCGCTGATCGTCACAGTAAGCGCTGCACATATCATTGATAACATCACTTTTGTCCAGTATGGCACCAGCCATAGCAACCACAATGTCAGCCAAATAATTAGCACGCTCCTTCCCTTGAACATCCGCATGATGAATCAAAAAGATGGTTAGGGCAGTAATTCGCAAAGGACTCAGTGCTGCAACCCATTCTTGCCTGATGAAACCAGCTGGGATTTTTTTAAAGCATATTTATCGAGCCACTAAATATGCATGCATGTGTGAACTCTTGAGTACCAAGCCATGCTAATGCTCTTGCTACAGCCATAGTTTCCATTGTAAGGCTACTAGTTGAAACAGCAAAAGTGCCATTCATCTTCTTGGTGGTTCTCCCTCTTGAGCTTGCTGTGAATGCTCATGCCTTGTCTTGTAGTCTTGTCTTGTAGTCTTAGTTTCAGCTTCATAGCAAACGGGTCACCCCATCTTTGCTCCGCTCCTGTGCCAAAACACACAGAATGTTTATCACAGTATTAGAATTGCAGTTCATCATTGATGGTAGCAAAAGTCGCCAAGAGATCAGCAGTTGCCCACGCTATCAATTTTAATCACATACGGGCACCACAACACTGCACAACAGGCATTTTCTGAATCTACAATTCACACCAACACGTTGGTCACAGTCGAAAAAACATTCAAATGCAATCCGCAGCTCACAGGGTCACACCATGCATTCAGCTCAGAAGCTGGGCGACGAAATTATACCCAGTCTACAAATGGAGCAAAAATGTATTGGCCACCGTCCGACAGAAGCAAAAAATTTGCCTCCGTTTCGAACAGTGCCGCTCATGCATTTCTCTTGCCCCGTTTTACAGATCCGTCTGTGTAAACTATAGCATCGCCTTCATCTGTGTTTTCGTCAATCAGTGTTTCTGAGTGAAGTTTCCACAATGCCGGGATTTTGCTCTCTGCAGCTTCCATCAAGTATGATGTAGACTGTAATGTTAATGTTTATAACAAGGAGGCATGGGTGTCCATTGAATTCCAGAATTAATGTCACTAAGGCAGCAAACATACCAGGGCTTCCAATGCGTGACCCATCCAAGATTTGCCTCGTTTAAGTCTATTCTTCTTTTGCTTGATTAATTCCTCATGAAGTGGGTGTCGAGGGTCTGAATCCACTTTGAGGAAAGCAACGGCCCTGGATAGCTTGATTCTGTTTTTTTCTGTTTTTCATTGTGGGGAAATATAAGAGGTATTGCATGTATTTGCAGGAGGTGTTTTCAATGCATGCAAGGATAATACGCATTGCCTCGTTTTCAGTTTTCTTTCTAGGTCTGTAGACAGCATGCCAAAGCCACACCAGAAAGACTTTCTACACAGAATCCACAGCTCAGAGTGTTGCACCAAGCACTTGGCTTAGTAACCGTGTTGGGGAACTTGAGAATTCCCAGTCCAAAAAGGGGGAATTGGCATCAGCAAAACATTTCTGGGGAAAAAAATTGTCAATGTCAGCCAGCTATTGGCCATTGTGTTAATATTTCCCTGGGTCTGGGGCCCCTCTGTGGGAAAACAAGAAAAAAACCACTACCTGCCTAACAAGCATGTCATAAGAGTCGACTAATTAGGCGTTTCCTTTAAAGTCAGAGTGTATCTAGCTGAATGGCATGCAAAACTCTAAAGTGGTCTAAAAGCCAGAGTTGACTGCCAGTGAGTGTGAAGAGACTGACATGCTACACGGAAACAACGCTGTCGCTGACACATCCTGTGATCACATCATCTCTGTGATCATTTCAACATGTCCTGCATTGTTGTCTGTGCTAGAACATCCTGTGATCACATCATCTCTATGATTTTTTCAACAGGCCCTGCATTATTGTCTGTGCTGGAACATCCTGTGATCACATCATCTCTGTGATTGGTTTAACGTGTTCTGCATTGTTTTCTGTGCTGGAACACCATGTGATCACATCATCTCTGTGATTGGTTCAACATGTCCTGCATTGTTGTCTGTGCTGGAACATCCTTTGATCACATCATCTCTGTGATTGTTTCAACATGTCCTGCATTGTTGTCTGTGCAGAAACATCCTGTGAACTTATCTGTTTCTGTTGACCTGTATGTGATGTGTTTCCAGGTGTACAACGACAGTGAAGAAGGCAAGCGGTTTATGCAGTTTTATAAATTGAACAGTTGGCCATATGTGGCAGTCATTGACCCTGTCACAGGTAAGTGTTGTGTGCTAAATTGAGTCAGCACACTACCAAGTGTCTAGCAGGTACTCTTCAGCTTCCTTTCTTAACAAGACAACTCGACGACGATGACACCGTCATACAAGTTTATTTAACAGGATACATGACACAAATGCAGAGACGTAGTTATTGATCACAGCTGACATTCGCACATCGTTCATTTGTCCCCACAGCTCTCTAGCTCTCAATGTGTAGTGACCTCTCCTGGACTACTGCAGATACTAGGATGACGGCGTCCCACTCTCTGGACGCGTCGTACAGCTGAACAGGACGACTTCTCCCATTCACTGGACCTTGATATTAATTCAGCATACAACACGGCTGACTGGAGACGGACTTCTCTTGCCGTACTCCGAAACCAGACACTACTGGTCTTCCCGTCCCCTGGACTTACTTTGCCAGCGGGACCATATTTCCCATACCGCAATCCCGACACTTACTCGGACCTAAATGCCCGATAGTCGTACGGTATTCTAGTCGGTTAGACTCCCATGACCGACAGGACTTCTACCATAAGTCCTCTCATACTTTTGACATGTACCGCAATCTCGACACTTACTCGGACCTAAATGCCCGATAGTCGTACGGTATGTTTGTCTGTTAGACTCGAGAGATTACCTGGACCCTGACTTGGTCTATGACTCTCGTTTTCTCTCTCTTCTCGCTTCTCGCTCTATCTTGACTGCTTCTCGATTGCCCCCGAGGGGCTTTAGCCCTCAGGCTACAGCTCACTCTCTGGACTGTCTACGCAGCCCAATTTATATATGTCGAATCCGTGTAGGTGGATGGTGATTACACGAGAGGCACGCTTGTGTGGGCGTTCTCGTGAATCATGATCCTGTGGGTGTTCCCGGGACTCGCTCATGTGAGCTTCCCGAGGATCACGCTTATGTGGGTGGCTGATGTTACCCGAGAATCACGCTGTCACTTAATTCACACTTTATCTCGTTATCCACGCTTTCAGCCCACCACACAGAATCCTACGCGTCCACTTTCTCTCGTGCAAGCACGCCTTGTTCATGAATAGATGTTTTCACTGGTCTCCTCTTAATACTCGGATCATATTGACACTCTTTCCTCGTGAACTTACAGGAAGTACAGGCATACCATTGTCCCTTCCCACAATATCACACTTAACCTAAATCAGCGCGCAACAGTAAGTCACCAGTTGTTTTACACTTATAGTCTTCCTCTTCTACTTTCTACTAGTTTTATAGTTCTTCTTTTGTTATCTTACTGGTGCCAGTTTGTAGCCCAGTGTCATGGTTTTTTTTTTGTATTCGTCTTGCACTTCTCGGGTGGCTTGGGTAGTGGATTTGTTCATCTTTTTGCAGGTTTCACCTGCACCATTTATCCTTCTCTTTCTTGGCCTACCTCCTAGATGTTCTTCTGTAAAAAGTCTCATATGCAGTTTGACCTGGCTGCATTCTCACTAGATGGCTGAACCATCTGTCAGTATAATCCAGACATGGTCTTATTCTAACTTTATTTCTAATGCTGGCGTTAATAACCCTGTTTCGTCTTGTGTTGTCAGTGATTTATTTTTATAGTTATCTTCAGTGATGATAAAGTTTTAGTAATAACAAGCACACAAAAAGAGAATACCACAGAGGTTATTGTTTGAGGCCCAGGATATAGACATGTGGCAGGAGTCCTATATAAATCCTGCATAGATAACCTGCAAATGAAATGTCCTGTATGTTTTCAGTAGTCATATTTATGTTCTTGTCACTGTGTTTGAGCATGTTTCTGTTCTTGTCCCCATGTTTGGGCATGTTTCTGTTCTTGTCACCATGTTTGGGCATGTTTCTGTTCTTGTCACCATGTTTGGGCATGTTTCTGTTCTTGTCACCATGTTTGGGCATGTTTCTGTTCTTGTCACCATGTTTGGGCATGTTTCTGTTCTTGTCACCGTGTTTGGGAATGTTTGTAGACAAGAGATTTGTACTTGCTTGCAGGAGAGAAACAGATCATCTGGGACAAAATTGCTGATGGCCGTGTCTTCTGTGATTTAGGTATGCACTACAGTTGTTTGTTGTCTGTCTGTCTGTGGGTAATTATCATATAATGCTGATAGCTTGTTGTCTCTGTGTAATAATCGCACTGACTCGCACACACAGGGTGCATTGTCAGGGTGGGGGTCAGTCAGGGTGAGGGCTCAGTCAAGGGAAGAGCTCAGTCAGGGTGAGGGCTCAGTCAAGGGGAGAGCTCAGTCAAGGTGAGGGCTCAGTCAAGGGGAGATCTCACTCAGGGTGAGGGCTCAGTCAAGGGAAGAGCTCAGTCAGGGTGAGAGCTCAGTCAAGGGGATAGCTCAGTCAGGGTGAGGGCTCAGTCAAGGGAAGAGCTCAGTCAGGGTGAGGGCTCAGTCAAGGGGAGATCTCACTCAGGGTGAGGGCTCAGTCAAGGGGAGAGCTCACTCAGGGTGAGGGCTCATTAATTGAACACTAAAAAGAAGTGTTTTCATTAATTAATGAGAAAATGCAGTAAAGCAAACCAAGGACAGCTAGCCCTCCTTTTACAACACAAGACAGTCCTGATCAGCATAAACAAACATCTCATACAAAGCATATTTACACTCTATGCTATCAGTGCCAGACATGGTCACTCACAACAAACCAGACAAGAAAAAATTAATAACCATGGAAATGGGATGTTTGAGAAGGGCTGCAGGAGTGACCAGAAGAGATATAATCAGAAATGAGGCCATAAAAGAAAAAGTTGGCATAGAACCAATTCTAAACTACATATAGAGACAGCAAATCAAATGGTGTGCCCACTTGGAGAGAAAGTCTTGTGATGCCATACCATACAAGGCATACACCAAAAGAGAAAAGGATGTACAGCACAAGGTAGAACAAGAACAGGATGGAAAGACAACATCAGAGAAACTCTTCAACACCACGATGTGTCTACGGTCGAAACGGCCAGAAAAGCAAGAAGCAGGATCATATATCTCCATCGACACTCAAAGCGTTGAAAGATGAAGTTAAGAAGCAGCAGCAGAAGAATTATTGAGAACATGGGATGGAAGGGAACCAGTTAGTGATGGTACCTTGATTTTTAGAAGCCTGAGTATCAGAGACAGTATTTCTTCTGTAGATTCCGAGGCTCCATTGTGGGTAAAACAAGAATAAGCCCAGGGCCTCTCTAGCAAGCATGTCAGAGGAGTCAACTAATTTGGGGCATCCTTTGAGGTCGGAGTAAATCTGCCTGAGAGGCAAGGAACCAAGGGTCTGCGTACAAATGAGTCAGATTTATAAAGCATATGTGCACAGAACACTGATTTTCTGGAATAGAACTTGAGACCACAGGTGGACAAAGAACCAGAATTTTCTGCCAGAGTTACAACCAGTGAAACGTGAGGAAGAAGAATAAAAGACAACATATGAATTGGTGGATTAATTTTCTTTGAACATGTGACACTTTGAACATGTGACACTTTGAACATGTGACATAGTTGATTGATCTATAAAAGATAGTCTAGGCCTATGTGCTATTGTATGCTGCATTTTATGTGTACTTGAAATCTGCTTTCTCAGCTAGAGAAAGACTACACACATCTTCTCAGCAAGGCAATCTCGTCTCAACCCTGGATCCTTGAGACTTAACCCAAGTAAATTCCCTGAGCGAGTAGTTCCCCATGCATTCTCAGATACACGAAAAGCATGCGAGTTATCCTCGTAACTCAACTCGATTCATGCAGACCTCCGTGTGCCAGGTTTCACGAAAACAATTCTCAGACAGAATGTTGACTCGGGCATCTTTGACACTTCATGACTTTACTGGCCAACATGCCTGTCTCAGTCCACACAGATTCAACACACAACATCTGCCCCATGTGGCTTGAAGGCATGGAAATTGGTCCTTTACTTTATATGACATAGTTGTCTTTCTTGATATGTTTGTGTCTGTCAGAGTACATTTTTGTTCATCTTTTCCAGCAAAAGAGTTTCTGTCCTCATGTCCAGCTCCAGACCAGACCTTGGTACCGCCTCCGTCCAAACGACAAAGAAGGGTAGGTGGTCAGTCTTCAATGAGTGGTCAGTTTATCAGTACATATAGTTCCTGGAAGCCACACTGGTCTTGTGGCTGATGCTCCACTTGACGGTCCAATGCTCTTGGGTTTGAATCTATCGAGTCGAATTATTATCACAAATGGCCGGGACTCAGTGCCACCTTAACGCAGAAGCCCGCTGGGCACCTTGCACTGGGGCCCCATGTCAATCTGTAGGTCAAGTGGTTTGCCAGAAAAATGCAAATTTCATTCCTGGGAGGAGTTGTAGGGGCCCGCATAGACTATTTAACCCAGGAACCCACAATGCTGATAGGACGGTTCTGCCTCGACTCCCATGTCGACCCAGCTTAAAATGGGTAGCAGGTAAAATCCTTGGAGGTAAAGGTGACCAGCACGATGGTGACCTCTTTACACATCAACGGCTATTTGGTCTATAAAAAACATGAGTTTAGCATTATATATCCAATGTTCCACTGATGGCAAATGGGTCCTTGACTACTCACTTACTGAACGTTTCTCAATGTGTTTTTTTCTTCTATGAGTGGCAACCGCAGTCTTCTTCTTCTTCGATCCTTCTGTCAGAAAACGTATATCAGGAGGTCGGTAGCCTTTATGGAAGCTATCGTGCAGTCCATATCCTCTCGAGTACCATACAGTTTTGTCTTCCTTGTGGTTGGAACAGGCCAGATTGGGTCTCTGTTGTCAGCATACAGTTGACAGTGTTGAAGCACGTGCCTAGCATTTTCAGGTGCCATGCTGCAGGGACACGTTTTTGTGTTTCCTACACTTAAGTCATTCTCTCTTCTTGTTTCTTTCTTTCTATTCTGTTTTTCTTTTCCCTTCTTTCTCTTCTCTGTTTTTCTCCTCCCTCTTCCCTTTATTGTCTAGTGGGTCTGTGTATGCATATGTGTGAGTGTTGGGGTATGTATATGTATGCAGTAGAGAGGGTGCATATATGTGTGTGCATGATTTTTTTGTATGTATGAATATATGTATGTGTGTATATTTAACAGTGTGTGCAGGTTTGTATGTGTATGTTTGAGTGCATAATTGTTTATATATGGTTGTGTATGTCTGCATGAGAGCGTATAGGTAAGTTTGTGTACAAATGTGTGGGTAAGTTTGTGTGTATCTATTTATGAGAGTATATGCGTACGCATATATGATAGTGTATGTATCAGTATAAATGAGTGGGTGTAGTATGCACATATGTATCTATGTTAGTCAACAGATTATCCTCATTGCGCATTGAAACATTCAGTACATAAGTGCTCAGGCCCCCCCCCCCCCCCCCCCCCCCTCTTCCCCTTCGGTAAATCCCGCAGGAGTATCAGCTCATGACACCAGTTCTGTGTTGGTTTTCTTATTCTTCTTTAACCTCCTGCATAGTGCTCTTGTCTGGCCACACCACTTTTAACATGTTGTTCTTGCATTTTGATCATTATTGCAGATTCACAATCATCACTTGGTTCTCGCAAACGTCCTACTTCACGTAGAGCCTTAAGAATATCAACACGGTCTATGGCTCATCTGCCCTCCACAGTAGCTTTACCGGCAAGTGGATCCTCTTGTTCATTTCCTTGCAAACCTGCGTCCCCTGGCACAAATATGAAACTGATATGTGCAGCCCCGACCACTTAAGACACTCGAGCCACAGTGTTCGGATCAAGCCCTTTATCTTACTGAGCATCCTCATTGAGTCACTGTGTATGGGTGTATGTGCTTCTACGTATGCATTTACCATCTTTGCTTTTGGGTTTTCCCCCTTTATATGCATTATGTTGTGAACTGTGTCCAGAGTCTGAGGGCTGTGTTGCAAATATACATTCACCAGCGGGGAGTTCTGGTTGTTTGTCCACTTCTGGACATTCGTCTACTTCCAGAACTTGATTTTGCATGCATATCTGTTTTAAAGTTCTGGCTTATTTGTATGCAGACTGTTGGTTCTTTGCCTCTCAGGCAGCTGCGCTCCAGCTTTGAAGAAAACACCCCTAATTAGTTTCTTGGATGATATTCTTGTTTTTTCAATCTGAATTGTTAAGAAATTTAGAAATATTTAAAAACAAACATGAAAACCTTGAGTTTATTGTGGTAGCATAATGTAAAGGTAATGCTCAGTTTTAAAAAAGTTAGCTGCCTATCCTTTACAGGACACTGCAGAACCAACCCCAGCATTTTCGGGCTGTTGTGGTTTTTTTTTTTTGCAAATTTACGTTAGTTTGCCATTACTTTCTGGACGGTCAGTTTCTCTATACCACCGTCGAAACCATCGCAAGGCCCGCAGCTGGGATCGAACCTCTCAGTTCAAAAGTGCAATGTTAAATAGCACCTGAGATCCTTCAGTATAAGCAGCATGACACCTGCTTGCAGGTCAAGGCCTATATAAAATAGGCCACCGAGTCGTGTGCCTCTTCCTACATGCACCAGACTGAAGATTTCAGAAACACTTTACTGTTTTGTTTTAAATTATACCCAGTGATTTGTACTATCATCGTCATGTGCCCTGCCGGTAGGCGTAGGCTGCCATGTTTCATCATTTCTCACCATCACCAGGATCAGCTCAGTGGTTTTTGTCTTGTCTTGCTCCATCCATGCTGCCAGGTCATTTAGGTATTTCTCTTTCGCCTTCTTCTTGCTCTGTTTCCATCAGTGTTGTCAGTTGTTACTAAGTTCTCAAGCCTATTTCTTTTTAGAACATGTTCAGAAAGCTCCGACTGTTACATCTAATTGTTTTAGTAAGTTTATGACTTCTGTCTGTCTCAATGAGAACTGCTTTGTTTGTTTTTCTATCCCTCCATGATATTCTTGGATGTATCTTAGAAACCACTTAAGACTTTTTTCTCATTGCAGTTGACATCGTATTGGTAAAAAAAATTGTGCGTCTTGATAAATGCTACTTTTGTCATGGCATTTCTTGTTCTAATTTCTGGAAGGCCTCTCACATCAATGTTGTGACTGTAATATAGATTTATAATACTGTAGTCCATTTTGGCTGGTATACTGAATGCTTTAAGAGAGTTTAGACGTTTGTGTGAACCAACTGAGAACTGTGAATCTGCGACCAGGGTCAGACTGTAAGAACAACATGTTAAATGGGGTGTCGCCAAACAAGAACACTACGCGGGTAGCTAAAGAAAAAGAATAAATCAACACAGAACTGGTAAAGTTAGCAGCCACAGGCTGCTGGACTTATGGCTTATGGACTGAGTGGTTCAATGTGCAATGAGGATAATCTGTTGACTAACTATTGTAGATGCTCTTTAGAAAGTTTCTGACTAATTTGTGCATCTGTTGCTGTTGTGCTGTAATTATCACCTCTGGTTACAGGAGCCGTCTATATTAGATGCTTCAGAACAAGAGCAGATGGAAGCAGCCATCCAGGCATCCTTGGTGGAGAGCTCCCAACCAGCTGCCCATCAGTATGTGTTTGCTTCCGACTCAGAAGACAGCTCCGATGATGTAGAAACTTTCTCAGATCCCGATGAGGTCATTGTCTCCTCACCGACAGCATCCTCAAATGGGGTTTCTGTAGCTAGAGTGCCAACATCTTCTGGTGGGCCATCGTTGTGTAGGTCAAGCTATGAACGGAGAAGCCCTTACTCAAGACATCGGCAGCAAACATCACACGGTCAGGCTGCTTCATCGTCAGCACCGTCCACATCACGTAACACTTTATCTCCTTCTGCTGGAAGCCGCATACGCCAGTTTGTCCTACCCTCGAACTCTGACAGGGCAGGCAGCAGTCAGGGAGATGCTGGATCTAGCGACTGGCCCAGGGTTTCTCCTTTACATTCTGGTCAAGATAGTCCTCTGGATGTCAACATAGAGAGCTCACTTATCGATATGCTCGGCTGTCGCGAGGCAGAGGTCGGCACACCAGACTCTTTCACACAAGACGACTCACTGTCGAACTCACAACTCTCAACACCAGATAGAGACACACCAGGAGGAACTACAACAGCAAGTCAGGGCTCCAGTGGTCAGTCACCACAGGGCAACAGTTGGACTGATTACCTAGGACATCCTTCAGGTAAGTTTTTGAGGACCATGTCATGTCTGTGTATGTAAAGATCACGGTGGCATAGACACGTGAAACACATTTACATCACCCAGACGAACAGTGGAGGAGAAGGAGATCTTGTCGTGTGTGAATGTAGGGGACACAGTGTCACCTACAAGACCTACTTGTCAGATCTTGTCCTCCGCTAGTTCATGGAAAAGTCCCCTCAAATACATATGATGTTCTGAGATCAGATGTTCTGCCAAGAAATTATATACACTGATTAGATGGCAATTGAGTCACCTCCTAGTTGCTCTGCTCCTGTGCCAACAAAACCCACACGGAATGACCAGCCCTCTCCTTTGTGAAAGCATTGACACTGACTGCAGTCTCAGCAAGTCAAACAGAACCCACCCGCATTAAATGCATAAAGTAACAGTTACAAGTGCCAACACCAACAGTCTGATTCTAGATATGCACTTTATTGTTGGTAAAAGCAGCTGTTACAGTGGATATGTACAGTTCTGTTTGTCAAACCCCTGCCGTGGTGGTGTCATGGTTAGTTCCACCTGCACAGTTGTGGACCTCGGTTCGGTCCTCAGTAGTCAAGGGACTGGAATGATCCTGGTAGTTGGCTCCATAAAATGGATTTCTCATAGTAATTGAAATGATTGCACGCGGAGGTCTGGTCACTGAAATCTTGCTGTCATTACCTAGTTGAGACATACACGTAACACAGGGGAGATTGTTGAGACATGCACATAATACAGGGGAGATTGTTGAGACATGCGCATAACAGTGGAGATTGTTGAGACATGCACATAACAGTGGAGATTGTTGAGGCATGCACATAACAGTGGAGATTGTTGAGACATGCACATAACAGTGGAGATTGTTGAGACATGCACATAACAGGGGAGATTGTTGAGACATGCACATAACAGTGGAGATTGTTGAGACATGCACATAACAGTGGAGATTGTTGAGACATGCACATAACAGTGGAGATTGTTGAGACATGCACATAACAGGGGAGATTGTTGAGACATGCACATAACAGTGGAGATTGTTGAGACATGCACATAACAGGGGAGATTGTTGAGATATGCATATAAAACAGTGAAGATTGTTGAGGCATGCGCGTAACACAGTGGAGATTGTTGAGGCATGCGCGTAACACAGTGGAGATTGTTGAGGCCAGCATGTAACACAGGGGAGATTGTTGAGTCATGCACATAACACAGGGAAGATTGTTGAGACATGCATGTAACACTAGGGAGATTGTTGAGTCATGCACATAACACCAGGGAGATTGTTGAGTCATGCACATAACACCAGGGAGATTGTTGAGTCATGCATGTAACACTAGGGAGATTGTTGAGACATGCACTTAACACCAAGGAGATGGTTGGGACATGCACTTAACACCAAGGAGATGGTTGGGACATGCACGTAACACTAGGGAGATTGTTGAGACATGCACATAACACCAGGAAGATTGTTGAGACATGCACATAACACCAGGAAGATTGTTGAGACATGCATGTAACACTAGGAAGATTGTTGAGACATGCATGTAACACCAGGAAGATTGTTGAGACATGCACATAACACCAGGGAGATTGTTGAGACATGCACATAACACCAGGGAGATTGTTGAGACATGCATGTAACACCAGGAAGATTGTTGAGACATGCATGTAACACCAGGAAGATTGTTGAGACATGCACATAACACCAGGAAGATTGTTGAGACATGCACATAACACCAGGGAGATTGTTGAGACATGCACATAACACCAGGGAGATTGTTGAGACATGCATGTAACACCAGGAAGATTGTTGAGACGTGCACTTAACACCAGGGAGATTGTTGAGACATGCATGTAACACCTGGGAGATTGTTGAGACATGCACATAACACCAGGGAGATTGTTGAGACATGCACATAACACCAGGGAGATTGTTGAGACATGCATGTAACACCAGGGAGATTGTTGAGACATGCACTTAACACCAGGAAGATTGTTGAGACGTGCACTTAACACCAGGGAGATTGTTGAGACGTGCACTTAAGACCAGGGAGATTGTTGAGACATGCATGTAACACCAGGAAGATTGTTGAGACGTGCACTTAACACCAGGGAGATTGTTGAGACATGCATGTAACACCTGGGAGATTGTTGAGACATGCACATAACACCAGGGAGATTGTTGAGACATGCACATAACACCAGGGAGATTGTTGAGACATGCATGTAACACCAGGGAGATTGTTGAGACATGCACTTAACACCAGGAAGATTGTTGAGACGTGCACTTAACACCAGGGAGATTGTTGAGACGTGCACTTAAGACCAGGGAGATTGTTGAGACATGCATGTAACACCAGGGAGATTGTTGGGTCATGCACATAACACCAGGGAGATTGTTGAGACATGCACGTAACACAGGGAAGATTTTTGAGACATGCACGTAACACAGGGAAGATTTTTGAGACGTGTGTCAACAGAGAGATAATACATGTCTTAGCCCATGACTGCCGGCTTGTGTTCTGCAGCTTCATGTCCAGTTTTTTTCTATCCCCAGACCCGGTCAGCAGCATCATCATCAGGTTCCCCAACAACACACGAGAGCAGGTCCAGCTTCCATGCAGCTCCCAGCTTCAGGTCAGTTTGCTTTTGTTGACTCCCGGTCAGTTTGCTTTTGTTGATTCCCGGTCAGTTTGCTTTTGTTGACTCCCGCTCAGGTTGCTTTTTTTTACTCCCTGTCAGTTTGCTATTTTGTTGACTCATGGTTAGTTTGCTTTTGTTGACTCCCGGTCATTTTGCTTTTGTTGACTACCTGTCAGTTTGCTTTTGTTGACTCCCTGTCAGTTTGCTTTTGTTGATTCGCAGTCAGTTTGCTTTTGTTGACTCATAGTCAGTTTGTTTTTGTTGACTCCCGAGCAGTTAGTTTTTGTTGACTTCTGGTCAGCTATCTCTGTGTACCCGCTATTGTAGGCAATGTTTAGTCAGCTTTCTCTGACTCCCGCTATTGTAGCCAATGTCTCATAAGCTTTCTCTGACTCCCGCTGTTGTATTTAATGTCTGGTCAGCTTTCTCTGACTCCCGCTGTTGTATTCAATGTCTGGTCAGGTTTCTCTGACTCCCGCTATTGTAGCTAGTGTCTTGTCAGCTTTCTCTGACTCCCGCTTTTGTAGCCAGTGTCTTATCAGCTTTCTCTGACTCCCGCTGTTGTATTCAGTGTCTGGTTGGCTTTCTCTGACTCCCGTTGTTGTATTCAATGTCTGGTCAGCGCTGTTGTATTCAGTGTCTGGTCAGCTTTCTCTGACTCCCGCTATTAAAGCCAATGTCTGGTCAGCTTTCTCTGACTCCCGCTGTTGTAGCCAATGTCTGGTCAGCTTTCTCTGACTCCCGCTATTATAGCCAATGTCTGGTCACCTTTCTCTGACTCCCGCTGTTGTATTCAGTGTCTGGTCAGCTTTCTCTGACTTCCGCTGTTGTATTCAGTGTCTGGTCAGCTTTCTCTGACTCCCGCTATTATAGCCAATGTCTGGTCAGCTTTCTCTGACTCCCGCTATTATAGCCAATGTCTGGTCAGCTTTCTCTGACTCCCGCTATTGTAGTTAATGTCTGGTCAGCTTTCTCTGACTCCCTCTATTATAGCCAATGTCTGGTCAGCTTTCTCTGACTCCCGCTATTGTAGCCAATGTCTGGTCAGCTTTCTCTGACTCCCGCTATTATAGCCAATGTCTGGTCAGCTTTCTTTGACTCCCGCTATTATAGCCAATGTCTGGTCAGCTTTCTCTAACTCCCGCTATTGTAGCCAGTGTCTGGTCAGTTTTCTCTGACTCCCGCTATTGTACTCAATGTCAGGTCAGTTTTATCTTATTCTTTCTGTTGTACTCAGTGTCTGGTCACTTCTCATGTGATCAGCCTCTTAGGAAGACAGTCAACGCAAGGGATGCTGGGTTAGCCAGTGTTTGGCCAGCTGACGAGGGGACAACGCCACCTGGGAGCACTTGAAGGAAGGAGGCATCAGACTTCACAGTACAGGGAGCTCTAGTGTTGTATCAGGTGTCTGGCTGATCCCACACTGGGACAGTTGACAGAAGGAGACTTAACAGTACAAGGTCTTGTGTTGCTTCATTAGATTTGTATCACTGTAGATTTGTGGCAAAGCAAGTTTCATAAATCATTGACACATACATTCATAGGCCATGAATTGCACTTATAGAATCACAAGATACTAGCAGTTGTAGGGGGCACTATACAATAAATAGTGAAGAAAATTAATCATTTTTTCCCCCCAAAGAATCCCATGGCTAGTTGCCTAAACTTATACTTAGTAAACAAAAATGTTTGAGGTTCTACCCTTCCCCCCACCTTTCTCTCTTCTATCACTTTCTCTCTCCCTTAGTTTCTTCATGTCTGTCTTTTAATATAATTTTTTCTTATTTCCTCTTTAATTCCACCCCCCCCCCCCCCTCCTTTTCTTGCATACTTCTGTCAGTTTCTTTTCCCCTTGCTTGTCTCTATTATTCCTAGACAAAGGGAGGAGGTGAAGGTTTTTGTGGCACAGAAGCTGGTTGGCCTTTATCAGACAGATTAGAGGGCCATGTGTACAGGCAGATTAGAGGGCCATGTGTACAGGCAGATGACAGGGCCGTGTGTACAGGCAGATTAGAGGGCCATGTGTACAGGCAGATTAGAGGGCCATGTGTACAGGCAGATTAGAGGGCCATGTGTACAGGCAGATTAGAGGGCCATGTGTACAGGCAGATTAGAGGGCCATGTGTACAGGCAGATTAGAGGGCCATGTGTACAGTCAGATTAGAGGGCCATGTGTACAGGCAGATTAGAGGGCGATGTGTACAGGCAGATGAGAGGGCCATGTGTACAGGCAGTCTGGCCCTGGTAGCATGTAGGCGTTGTGTGGCCTAGCTTCCATAGAGCTGCACACACACGAGCCACACTGCATCAACAGCACTGGTGTGCCATACACAGATTATCTATAGATTTACCCTGAGTTATCAGCACTGGTGAACCATCCACAGATTATCTACAGAATTACCCTGAGCTATCAGCACTGGTGTACAACCAAAGATTATCTACAGAATTACCCTGAGTTATCAGCACTGGTGTACCATACACAGATTATCTACAGAATTACCCAGATTTTTCCGCACTAGGTTACCGTCCACAGCTTATTTACAGAATTACCTTGAGTTATCATACATGTACCCTGTAGAATCAACCCTGAATTATCATGTATGTATCACTTACAGTCACCACAGACCTATGCATACGTATCACCTGCAATAACTACAGACGTATGCACAAATATTGCCTCTAGTCACTACAAGTGTATGCATACATATCACCTACAATCACTAGTGGCTCATCATACCAATGTCATCGTGTTATTTGGTTTCTCCTCAGGCTTTGATCCTGTATTGTTCAGGTCAAGGATTCCCAGCTGACAAGTATGAACTGGTGACCAACTACCCTCGACGCCGGCTGTCTCAGATGGTCAGCACCACCTCGCTCCAGGACGCAGGACTTCACTCACAGGAGACCGTCTTTGTGCAGGACATCTAGTGACAGGAGTGGCAGTACAGCCTCTTGTCACACAATCTCTAGGGACATCTCTTATCACAGTTTCATTGGGTCATCCCTTGTATTGTTACAACTTTGGGTATCTCTTATCACATTGGAACTTGGGGTATCTCTTGTTGCATTAGATTTTGGGGTATCTCTTATCACAGTGTCACTTGGGTCATCTCTTATCACATTGTCACTTGAGTCATATCTTGTTACATTATCACTTAGGTCATCTCTTGCCAAATTGCCATCTCTTGTCACTTGGATCATGTCTTGTCATATTGTCATTTAGTCATCTCTTCTCATATTGTCACTTAGGTCAACTCTTGCCACATTGCTGTTTGGGTCATCTCTTCTGATTAGATTATCTCTTGTCAACTGGGTCATCTCTTGTCACATTGCTACTCTGGTCATCTCTTGTGGCATTTCTGCTGTGGCTTCTCTTATCATCACTCAGAGAGTTTTATGGTTACATCATAGCTGAAATACCATGTCACATCATCGCTGGCAGCCTTTTGTCGTACTTCGTCACTTTGTGGTTATTGCATCATCATATGTGGCTGGCTGTAGAGTCCAGAAACAACAGCGGAGGTCTGTGAAAGAACTGAGCTTGCACTAGTCATTGATTTTGACCAGATACCAGTCATTGTTAGCACTGAAACATATTTAGCCAGGTACCAGTCGTTGTTAGCACTGAAACATATTTAGCCAGGTACCAGTCATTGTTATCACTTAAACATATTTGGCCAGATACCTGTTTGTTAGCACTGAAACATATTACGTCAAGTGACGTAAATTTTTAACATAAACATATTTGGCTAGGAATGCATCCAATGTTAACACTGAAACATATTTGTCCAGGTAGCATTCATTGTCGACACAAACATATTTGGCCAGGAATTCCCTCAGAATTAACACTGAAGCATGATGAGCAGCCAGAAAGACATATTTTTAAATTGAAATATAAGATTGAGCCAAAGTTACATCTTATTTTGGCATTGAGATGTTACATGTGGCCAGGAATGAATTACTTTACTCTGATATGTATATTTTTGAGATGGAATATTGTGCAGAAATTCTTACCAGAAGTGCGGGTAGAAAATTGTAAATATTGTCTTTGAGTGGGTATGCGTGTGACAGCGAATGATCTGTAATAAAACGAAACAAAAAACAAAACAAATGTATTGTCACTGAGCCATTTATTGGATGTGGATGTGTCTCTTAATGTTGTAGAACAAAAAACATTGTTTTACGTTCTCCAGTGCTGTCCCAGGTGGTTGGTTTTATTACCTTTTTTTATCATCCTGTAGCAGGTCCTTTGAAAAACATCGTGATCTCTCGTCAGCTTTCCCACCTCATGTACTTTCATATTCGAGGAGTCGCTTGTGTCCTGTGCCCTTCTTTATGTTTATCAACCCCTGCCCCTCCTTCCTGGTACCGTGCCTTCTGGTATTATTTTTTTCCAGTCCACATTAGTGCTTGATATGGCCAAAATATTCCAGATTGTGAGACAAGATGTTGTTTATTAGACAATCTTCCTTGATGTTTAGATCTTTTAGAATGTCAGCATTTCTTCACTTCTTTGTCCATGATATTCTGAGAATCTTTCTATAACATTTCAGCTTAAAGTTCCTACTATCTTCTTGAAGACTAGTCCATGACCCACATCCATATATTGCTATAGGGAAGATGCATGCTCTCAGAATTGTAATTTGTATTTCCTTGTTGGTGCTTAACCATAGACTTTTAATGCTGTTCAATTTTTGCATTGCTATGGCTATCATACTTGTGTTGTTTTCTGTCAGTCTTTATTGCTAACAATTATAGAGCCTACACATTCCAATTCAAGTTTATGGCAGTTTCAATTTCTTCATCATTTATTGTTATTTTTGGGTGACAGCAAGTTGTGTATGTTCACTGTGTTTTTGGAAAGATATGATTTAATTTTCTGTTTCCTTTACATTGTACGAAAGGTGGGCTGTGTCATCTGCATAGCGAAGTTCCGGAATACGGTTGCCACCATATATATATATATATATATATATATATATATATATATATATATATATATATATATATATATATATAATATATATATATATATATATATATATATATATATATATATATATAAATATATATATATATATATATATATATATATATATATATATATATATATATATATATGTATATATATATATATATATATATATATATATATATATATATATATATATATATATATATATATATATATATATATATAAAAGATAACCAATGTGTAATCCTACTCTTTGCCTAAAAAAATTAAATGAACCCACTTTATGCCCCAGACATTTGGGTCAATCCATTATCTGCTTCAGACAGTTGTATGATCCCATGTGGATCTTTGGTAACACACCCTGCCATTTGAAACACTGGGATCTTTGATTAACACAGCTTCCTGTCTAGAAGACTGGGATCTTTGATTAACACAGCTTCCTGTCTAGAAGACTGGGATCTTTGATTAACACAGCTTCCTGTCTAGAAGACTGGGATCTTTGATTATCACAGCTTCCTGTCTAGAAGACTGGGATCTTTGATTATCACAGCTTCCTGTCTAGAAGACTGAGATCTTTGATTATCACAGCTTCCTGTCTAGAAGACTGGGATCTTTGATTATCACAGCTTCCTGTCTAGAAGACTGGGATCTTTGATGAACACAGCTTCCTGTCTAGAAGACTGGGAACTTTGATTATCACAGCTTCCTGTCTAGAAGACTGGGATCTTTGATTATCACAGCTTCCTGTCTAGAAGACTGGGATCTTTGATGAACACAGCTTCCTGTCTAGAAGACTGGGATCTTTGATGAACACAGCTTCCTGTCTAGAAGACTGGGATCTTTGATTATCACAGCTTCCTGTCTAGAAGACTGGGATCTTTGATTATCACAGCTTCCTGTCTAGAAGACTGGGATCTTTGATTATCACAGCTTCCTGTCTAGAAGACTGGGATCTTTGATGAACACAGCTTCCTTTCTGGAATACTGGGATCTTTGATGAACACAGCTTCCTGTCTAGAAGACTGGGATCTTTGATGAACACAGCTTCCTGTCTAGAAGACTGGGATCTTTGATTATCACATCTTCCTGTCTAGAAGACTGGGATCTTTGATGAACACAGCTTCCTGTCTAGAACACACTGGGATCTTTGATTAAAACAGCTTCCTATCTGGAACACTGGGATCTTTGATTAAAACAGCTTCCTATCTAGAAGACTGGGATCTTTGATTATCACAGCTTCCTGTCTAAAAGACTGGGATCTTTGATTAAAACATCCTGTCTGGAACACTGGGATCTTTGGTAATGCAGCCTCTTGTTTAACACTCTGACCTTTAGTGCAGACTCCCATCAGAAACTCCTTGATCTGAGACATACTCCCACCTGGGACAGTTGACAGCTGTTCCATTTCAATATCTTACCTGGTTCATAGGGCTGTAAGGTGAAACACAATCTAACACACCTTGAGCTGAGGAAATGAACCAGTCTTCTCCATTGTTATCTTCATCATTGTCTGCTGCTGCTGCTTCTCCACCCCTTGTGTTATTTCTTCTTTCTTCTGCTCCAGTTGAAGCTAGCGCAAGTGTACAGTTGGTGTCAGTGTCTGTAATGCAACATGCTTCCATCTCTTAAAGACATTAAGCAAAAGTTATACAGATTCGACAAATGCCTGAAGACACTAAGACGCTGATAAATGCCAGGTAGAATGATCTCAAATCACATATCTGCAGACAGTGGAGGAAGGGCACTGGTTCTAGACCAGCCTTGAGTAAGTCTTCCCAGGGTAGAGATTGAAAAATTAAACAAGTCTACACTCTGACATAGAAATAGACAGAACAAGCCAGCTGCTTACTTTCAGACTTATGACTAGACAGACTAAACTAACCAGCTGCTTACAGCCAGACACATGACTAGACAGACTAAACAACCCAGCTTCCTACATCCACACAGCTTCTATCAATACACCTCTACGACCCTAATGGTCCAAGTGTTATGTTATCTTCTTATTAGTTTACACTATCAATGATATGTCCCTTATTATCATCATCAGTTGTGAGGTGGCGTAGGCGACCATGTCTCTGCACCGATATCGGGCCGTGGTATTTTGAATCGCTTCCACTGCTAATATTCCTCCATGCCATGGCACCAAAAGCATACACAAGCTTTGTAAATTAGATCTTTGCCAACAATTCTTGGCATGTCATACAGAGACCACATCACAAATAACGAGGCTCCCCTCATAACAGCACAATGGCAACTCTGCGCCTCTCTTAACTACAGTGAAAAGGCGGAAAATGCAATGGTATGGACATGTAATAGTATCTAATGGCCTCTCAAAAACAATACTGCAGGGTTCAGTAGAGGGAAGGAGAAGATGAAGTCCAAGAAAGACCTGGATACAGAACCTAACTCTTCTTCTTCTTCTTTGCGTTCACCAGCTGTACCCTCTGGCGTAAAGTTCTGGTTGTTCGTCCACTTCTGGACTGCAGTCCTGCTCCAGAACCTGAGTGTTGCGTGTGCATCAGTTTTACAGATCTGATTCAATTGAATGCAGACTGCTGGTTCCTCTCAGGCAGATGCACTCCGACTTCAAAGGAAGCTCCCCAGTTAGTCGACTCAAACGACATGCTTTTGGGTAGTCAGTGGGTCTTTTCTTGTTTTCCCTATAATAGGGCCCCGGAACCCACACGGGGGAGAACCTAACTGACGTGACAGGCCTCAGTCACGCAACTATGAGGTCCATTGCATCTGACCGTCAAAGCTGGAGCCGTCTGATCAGACAGTGAACAGAAAATGGTGACCCAAAGACACGCAGTGTTACGGAATGATGATACCATCGCAAGAGGCGATCAAGCACCGTCTCTCTTGTTCTGCCTCTTCGACTGTTGATCTCCCCAGTCATCGCGATGTGCAATGCCCCTCGTCTCACCACATGACCGAAGTATACAGTCTATTTCTTATAATCTTATATAGTTTCCTAATTTTATCAGCATTTTCAGGCAGTCGTCGTTAGTCCCTGTCTGTCCCCGGCTGAGAAACGACATCCCCACAGCCCCCAAGTTTTTGTTGTTGTTGTTGTTAACTCACACTCCGAGATTCACAACCACACAGCAAATTTAGTTCAACATAACATTTTGTTAACTGACACTCCAAGATTCAAAACCACACAGCAACTTTAGTTCAACATACCATTTCTTTGCGCTGTTTCTTATGTTTAATGAGAGAGACCTGGTGCATACAATATTGTTTTTGATCTTTTGATACGTAGCTGCTTGAAAAATATATTGGATTTAAAAAAAATAATTTGGCTTTGCTTCAACATAACGTTTGTTGCGTAATAAAGTTTATCTGTTCTCTTTACACAGTTCAGTTAGCATCGTACATATTCTGTTGATATAATTTCTCATGTCGTTATACCGTTAGCTGCTTTCGTATTATGTTAACCTAATTTCTGCAAACTTTAGAGTATTGGGGTAGGGAAAGGAAAGGGGGGGGGGGGGGTAGTATTTCGTTAACTATGTATTTCCGCCGTCCTTTTTATTTTCAACCATAAGCTCGCAATTTCAGCGAGCTTTGGCACATCTTATCAAAGGAGTCGAGGTGTCTAAACTATCTGTGGCACATCTTATCGAAGGAGTCGAGGTATCTAAACTATCTGTGGCACATCTTATCGAAGGAGTCGAGGTATCTAAACTATCTCGGCCGCTATTGCGTCTCCATGCAAGTTCAGATTCTGTTCACACCCCCAACCCCCCCCCTCCCCCAATCCATTTTTGATGCCCACCAGAGGCTGACACAGGCTGTACCTGCTTATGTTTCGGTGCTCGGATTTAGTCCGACTTACGTTTGCGTCAACTGCAAGCGAAAGTCGAGAACCCTAAACGATCTGACGATTCTATCTGAGGCATTACAGCAGAGGTTGTCTGACAAGTGACCCTTAACGACCCCAGGAACGCACAAGTAGCGATAAACACGCGGTGACACAAAGTGCCACTATTCAGATGAAAAACACCCGGGTACAAGTCCCAGAAACCCCGTTCAACCGTTAGATTATATTAGGGCCCCCGACTACAGCCGGAGTAGTGCTGTAGAATATAAAATTTGCGTCCCATATTGGGGCGAGTTTAGAGGTCTGAGTGAAAACCAGGGGGAGGAGGAGTCAAAACGCATCATTATAATTCTACGTTGAATTCTTTGGATGCACTCTCATAAACTCGGTTAGTTCGTTATGTGAAGAACAAACAAAACGTCGAATGTTATTTTTACTCAGCCAGCATGAATGATAAACTACATTTGAACAAGGGAAACAATTCAAATTACCTGACTCCAACAATACATATACATAGTTACTTCCCTTTTATAGTAATTTCAAAGCCTGGCATCTACCAACTGAGATTTATTGATTAGCACTCTTTAGATTAAGACAGAGAGAGCGAGCGAGAGAGAGAGAGAGAGAGAGAGAGAGAGAGAGAGAGAGAGAGAGAGAGAGAGATTTAGTAAGTATGGTCATGCGTCCCAGTATACTTATTTCTGTACCGAGGCGCTGTCGTTATTTGGAGGTGACAGGGTCTATTCCCGGCTTGGTAACTATAACTTTTGACTGTTGTGGTGTCTGGAATGTCCTGCTAGTTCTCTTCTTTTTGAAATGAGTTTTGTCTCTTTGTATTTGTGTAGCGTCAGGGGCTATCCAGATACCCACCCGCCGGGTCTAGGGGTAACTTATAACCGCTTGATGGAGCTCGAAAACAATGTGCTGTATATTTCTACTGTTGAACGGTGTTTCCCAGATGCACACTTGTTTGGTCCTTGAAGTGGTAATCCCACAGTTATGAATGACGAAACTTGAAAAAGGGTTTCCTATCTGTTTATTTCTGTGTCTTTCCCGTCATGTTTTTAACGCATTTACAAGTCACATGACAAGTCCTGGCTTCCAGTGACTGCGATAATAACTAGTTTTTGCTTTGATAAATACAATTAGGTTGTGTGTGGTTGTGTGCCCTCGTGTGTAGGTGTGTGCGATGTGTACGGTCATGTGTGGTTGTGTGCCCTCCTGTGTAGGTGTGTGCGATGTGTACGGTCGTGTGTGGTTGTGTGCCCTCGTGTGTATGAGTGTGCGATGTGTACGGTCGTGTGTGGTTGTGTGCGGTTGTGTGTGGCTGTGTGGGTTTATGTGCGGTCGTGTGTGGTTGTATGCCGTCGTGTGTGGCTGTGTGCTGATATGAAAGGTTGTGTCGGATTATACCGAACGTCTACTGTTAGTATACTTTATAATGCAGTCGATAAAAGATTTACCACTTCCGATCAATATGGCCGATAGGCTCATTACTGCTTCTTTAGACACAACAAGTTTTTGCTTTTAACAATATTCAGCCGTTGATTTGGTTTCATGTAGTTCCGCCACCAATTACAGTGCTGAGTGCATGGCGCGACACTGTGAGCTGCGAATATAATTTGGAACGCTTTTCTGCAGCGGGGTTGGTTTGTGAACTGCAGATTTACAAAATGGCGAGTGTCCTGTTGCCCAAGACCTTAACAGTTTCGGTTTACAGCACACGTGCGTCATTCGCATCGCAGAAGCTGGAATTTTCCAGAAAACATGTCACCAGTAAGAATATTACTGCAGGAAACTGAGTACCTAGAGAGGTACCCGCAGTGCCACGTAATGAAGAAATTTATTGGTTAATGGTTGAGTGTTGGGGGTCATGTGCTGCGACAAAGAGAAAACGTCACACATCACCAAATCTACCATATATCACCAATACTATATTCCTTTCCAAAGTTGTGACCAAATAAAAATTTAAAACAAATTTAAAACAAACAAACAAACAGACACACACACACACACACACAAACCTGCATCCCAGTAACTTTGCGATGAAGACTAGAAATTAAACATGCCGCCTGTTAATAATGTCCTTGTAGAAAAATCATGATAAAACATCTGGTTTTTATTTTTCCTTATTTTAGTAATAAAAAATCGGATACATTGATACAACGCACACAGTTAGCATGTTTACTGTAAATGGCTTGCGGTGCAGCTGGCAAACATCAAACTGCCCGCGTTTTTGGAGGTAATCCGTACTAGAAACTGAGGCACACGTATTTTGAATAGCGAAGTGGATACTTCATGTACTGCCCTAATGTTTGTTGCTGGTCTCATAAAACGTTGACGATTTGTGTCAAGTATTGCCTATTCTCTCCCCCCCCCCCCCCAACCCCCTTTCCCTCGTTAATACATAAAGTACTAGTCAGACAAAAATCAAAGAAATTCGCCGCTGTGAAAAAACGGCAGCAACTGAGCAGTAGTAAATTACGAAATCATAAAGTTAAAGTGAATCTAAAACTATGTGTAAAAGTTCGTGTTGAACCGTACAGGAATTGCTAAGATGTTTGTTAATGTTTGATGGCAGGACTTTGGGATCGGACGATACCACACACCACCAACTGTGGCAGATAACAGTGACAGAAAATACTTTCTTGGACCATCTCATTAGATAAACGACGGTCTGTCAAAGGGAGACACTGGGAGATAATCTGTGCCTCCTGGAGGAGAGCGAACCTGCAGTTTATCGCAGGGGATGCAGGGGGTGCATGGGGTTGCAAGGGTTGCAGGGGAAGCGGACAGTATGCTAATTTCTCCGCTGCGACTAATGAGCGTCTCATCCCGTAATTGCAGCAGCCATTGTCCAAACTGTCGTCTGCTGGTTTGAGCAGATGTATTCCTGTGTGTCTGCCCTTGGCAACCGCAGGCAAAATCAAGCGTGTCCTACCGTGGCGATAGTGATCGTTGGTTACATTTGACTTCATTATGATTTAGACGTCAGCGGTAGATGTGTTGCAAACATTTCAGCCGAGCTGCCACATAACATATACAACATTCAATCATTCTTAGGTTATGGTCGCTATCTTTCTCCCCTTTCACCTCTCTGAGCCCATTTATCTTATATATATAGCTGCGCCGGTGAGTCCACGGATGCACTTTGTGCGGATATCATGGGGATTGTTACCAGTGGTAGGGAGTTCCTGCTTTGTGTGGCGCTTCGACAGGTGGTTAACCGTTCTGTGGACAGAGAACAGGCCATACGGGATTACATTCGGTGCATTTAGTGCATTTCGGTGTATCCTCTCAAGTTAAAAATTTTTTAAATAATATATTTTATTGGCGTTGACTATAATAATAATAATAATAATAATAATAATAATAATAATAATAATAATAATAATAATAATAATAATAATAATAATAATAATAGTAATAAAACATATTCAAGTAAGATTGAAAACAAAGAATTTAGACTCTGTAAATGTCGCCTGGGTTAACCTCCAATTTATACAAATGACTAAACTTTATTGGCATCCATTAGGCAGCCGCTGGACGTTAGGCAAGAGATAGCTCACATAATGCAGATTTTCGTCACTGCACCCCCAGCCATTCAGTCCAGCATCACTCGAACCTCCTCCTCAGTATACCCTCATCTGTACAAGCCATGTGTGAACTATAAAACAAAGATGACAACACAGAAATGCCAGTGTAGTCACACGAAACTAACTGGGAAGGCTAACCAGGGCAAGAAAAGCCTGCAGAAGTCGGATGTGTCGGCCGAAAGAAAGGCGCTAATATCTCAGCCAAGCTGTAAACTGGCACAGCGCATTTAAGCCTTCACTTGAACGAAATTGTCCACCCTTAAGTGTCCCCGCCTTCAAGATTGCCAGCTTCAAGCGTTTGTAATATTTAACAAGGGAGGCGTCGTGGTGGATGGTTAGAGAACTGGTTTGACCGCTGTGTGGTCACGGTTCCAGTCTCATGAACTTAGTGTGCGTGCGTGTGTGTGGTTGTGTGCGCGTGTCTCACAATATATACGAGTGTATACATGAGAACTGCGCGCGCGCGCGCGCGTGTGTGTGTGTGAGAGTGTGTGGTCTCTCTGTGTCTATCCGTCTCTGTTATTCTCTGTGTCTTGCTCTCTATCTATCTTTCTATCTCCGAATCTCTGTCTCTCCGAGTGAGTGTTTGTGTCTGACTGTATATTTGTGAGTGTGTGTAAGTTTGTGTCTCCCCCCCCCCCCCTTTGCCATATCTGGGTGCGTGTATATCTACATGTATGCGAGTATGCCTGTGTGTCTAGGTTTGTCCGCGTATGTGTTTCTGCTTCTGTGTCTAATCAAGCATATGTTTGAGTACAACCATCCAAACATACGCATGCTTCAAGCGCCAGCCTATGTCTTTCTATTTGTATGTACGTGCGCGTGTATTTCTGTATCTTTAAACGTATGTGTGTGTTTATTTCTGCTTTTGTGTTTCACTCAGTCAGTTAGCCTCTCTCTCTCTCTCTCTCTCTCTCTCTCTCTCTCTCTCTCTCTCTCTCTCTCTCTCTCTCTCTCTCTCTCGCGCGCGCGCTCTCTTTCTTTCATTTTTTCCCCACTACGTGTATGCATATTTGCTAGAAATAAAATTTCGATTACAAAAATGATAGCAATCAAGAAAGCAAACGATCAAAGCGGAGAGAAATTTTACAAGAAAAATGATAACAAAGAAACAAGATGTATTCAAGAAAGAACGTTTGAGGTGATGGCGACAATGGACAAATGGCAGCCATTACCGGAAGTTCAGACAAAATGTGGACCCTGATCCTGTGCCAGATAAGCATCGACAAGATGGCGACCTTTGGTTGCGTGGCCTGATCCGGGAATTAAGAAAATGGCCGACAGTGTCTTCTTATCGGGGTGAGATATCCCAAGCTGGGATCTTTTGGACAGATGGCTATCTTGTGGACATCTCGGCGGTTTCAGGCCGAAATTTATATATTTCTGCATTCTCTGTCTCTTCCGTCAGCTGTGAATGAGAGCTTCGTGTAGCTACCGCGACGTAGAGTGGGCAGTTATGTGTGCGTGTGTTTGTACACTATACACACACACACACACATACATACATACATACATACATACATACATACATACATACATACATACATACATACATACATACATACATACATACATACATACATACATACATACATACATACATACATACATACATACATACATACATACATACATACATACATACATACATACATACATACATACATACATACATACATATCATACATACATACATACATACATACATACATACATACATACATACATACATACATACATACATACATACATACATACATACATACATACATACATACATACATACATACATACATACATACATACATACATACATACATACATACATACATACATACATACATACATACATACATACATACATACATACATACATACATACATACATACATACATACATACATACATACATACATACATACATACATACATACATACATACATACATACATACATACATACATACATACATACATACATACATACATACATACATACATACATACATACATACATACATACATACATACATACATACATAAAAACACACACAAGCACACACACACTCGATTTAATTGCCAGGCTTCGCCCGGGATAGTGATAGAAAGCTTACATTTTCCGTCCTCTACCCCATCTTGGTCTTCACCGCTGCCCTATATGTGGGCCTAGTGGAAACTCTACGGTGCCAGTACAACATTAGCATTCTGTCATTAAGTTTCTCTTAGAGGCCCTCGTTTCCGCAAGCCGTTATTGTCCCATTTCAGTACATGTTTGGTAATTGTCTATTCGTCTCTTCTCTAAATTGTCTATAGCAAATAATCTTTGTGTTTTAACGTAGGTAAAGAGCTGGCCCCTGAGTCACGGTACGGGCCTCCTAGACCAGATGTTTCCATGTTAGTGCTACAACCAACAGCAGCAGCGCCAACCGTGCAAAGACCTGTTTGTTCTCTGACCGTGCGGCCACGACTCATGGTTGCAATTCGGCTTACTGTGAGTACCCCAAATCCGACCGAGAAAGCAACTACCCTCTCTAACGCACTGGAGCCCCAAGGGAACCAAAGCACCCACTGTAGGGAAATACTGACTTAACTAATACGCTAACTAGGTATTATCTTCAAAGTAAAAAAGGACCCTTTTCCGACAGATTGGGCATTATCATCTTCTTTTTCATCATCGCGTACCGGCAGTAAACTCTGAAGTTCTGGTTGTTTGTCCATTTCAGGACTCTAGACATATTCCACAACCTAAGTGTCGAATGCACATCCGTTTTACAGGTCTAAGTCATTTGTATGTATACTGTTAGTCCTTCGCCTCTCAGGCAGATGTACTCCGAGTTCGAAGGAAGCTTCTAGTTAGTCGACTTTTATGCCAGGCTTTGGGGTAGCCAGTGGGTCTATCCTTGTCCCCCCCCCCCCCACCCACAATAGGGTCTCGAACCCACACGGGGAGTACTGGCCGACTGCCTTTACCTCCCAGAACTTTATCTGATACCTATTTAAGGCTGGGTAGACCCTAGAAGTCAAGGTAACTTTTGAAGAAACATGCAGCTCTGTTCGGATGTGAAGTCGTGAGGTTTTTTAATTGAGTGATAATTAATTGTAGTTACTCTATTATAACGTTATAAATTTTATTTTAGTGCTTGGACCATCTGTTGCAGAACGTGATGAGAACAAGGAAACGGAATATATACACAATTCCACTACAGAGAATAAAAATAAAAAATCTGCGTTAGTAACACTAGTATATACCCCCGTGTGGGTTCCGGGGCCCCATTGTGGGGGAAAACAAGAATAGACCCACTGCCTCCCCAAAAGCATGTCGTAAGAGTCGACTAATTGGTGAGCTTCCTTTGAAGTCGGAGTGCATCTGCCAGGAGAGGCAAGGAACCAACAGTCTGTATTCAAGAGAATGAGATCTGTAAAACTGATGCACACGCAACACTCAGGTTCTGGAGCAGGACTGCAGTTCAGTAGTGGACGAGCAACCAGAACCTTCCGCCAGAGTGTACAGCTGGTGAACGCGAAGAAGAAGAAGACTAGTATATAGAAAATGTGACAGACATGTGACAGATAGCGACATGTATACTAGATAAAATAATAAAGTTTTAAGCATAAAGTCAGTGGGGCTTTTTGTTTGTAACGTGGAGCAGTCCCATGCTTGAGATGTTCCTCCCTCAGATGATAACCCTGGAGCGGATGAGCTACCAACAACAGAAATTGTGTGGCTCTGATCTACCTGCAAGTTTTTCTCCTTGTCTCTGCCGCTGCCGTATCTTTAGTTATTGCCCCTGAGGGCATCTAAGCACGTATTGCCTACAGTAATACAAACACCAGTATTTAACATTTTGGCAAATGGACAACTGTATTGTTCTCTTTTTCAATCTTGATCCAGAACTTGGACTTTGCGTGCACATCTGTTTAATAGACGTATGCAGACGTATACCTCTGCCATTAAACACACACACACACACACACACACACACACACACACACACACACACACACACACACACACACACACACACACACACACACACACAACACACATACTCAAGGGAGATAACATTGTAATTCAATGTGTAAAATTAATTTTTAAAAGGACGTAAAAGAGAAGCAATATTCAAATGGGTAAAAGCCGAGCCAAAGTTTACTTTTAGTGATTGCAGTATTTATTATAAGAAATGCCCATACATCTGGTCGTCAATAGCACTGTTGAATTTAACACTGAAGGCTTAATGGCAACTGAAAATCGAACTCTACTCTCAGTACCAAGCAAAATATTTTGTAAAATCATTATAACGCGGTTTGAAAAAGGAATAGATAAATACCTACGAGTGGAACAAGCAAGCAAGATATAGTATATATTTCTCGTCCTTTTTAGGGTGAAATTTTCCGTTATTTGACGCCCTACTCTGGCTCTTGCCGGCGGCTGCAATATAGCCCGGCCATAAATATGGCCTAATGGCTAAACGCGGTTTCTGAGACCTCTCCACGGTGATCCTCATCCACATGGTGGCACATTGTGTCATCGGGTGTTTATGGCTTGTGTGATGTCCTAGTTGAGTAGAAAGTCAGTCAGTCGACAAGCAGGATTCAGAAGTGGCAGAGGAAAAACTGAACACATCTTCGCCATACGTAACATTTTAGAACAATGCAATGAATGGCAGAGAAGTATATATATTAATTTTGTGGACTTTGAGAAAGCTTTTGACAGCGTCCATAGAGACGGTCTTCTGAAAATTTTACAACATTATGGAATTAAAAAAAAAAAAATAGTAAACATAATTGCTCTATTCTATAAAGACTTTTTCTGCAGTATAAAAAATTACAATACATCTTTCCCAGTAAAGACAGGTGTAAGACAGGGATGTGTTATGTCATCTCTCCTCTTCAACCGTGTGATTGATTGGATACTAAAGAACACAGTAGACAGGACATTGAGAGGCATACGATGGACTCCATTCACCATGCTTGAGGACCTTGATTTTTCAGATGATATAGCACTCCTATCACATAAACATGAACATATACAAGAAAAACGTAACAGCAGAAATGGTGGGGCTGAGAATAAATACAAAGAAAACTAAGATCACGACAAGCAGTCCAAACCAACAACCAGTGACCATAAGTAACCAATCACTTGAAAATGTAGAACATTTCACATATCTTGGCAGTGTGGTGTCCCTACTGGGAGGGACCGACGAGGACATACAGTCACGTTTGAAAAAAGCTAGAGCTGATTTTGGAAGGATGAGGCAAATTTGGAAATCCAACAATTACTGCAGAGGTACGAAACTCCGACTCTACAAGAGCATCATTTTGCCAGTTCTTCTTTATGGAGCGGAATGCCGGAGAA